CCGAAAGCACGAAGATGCAGAGACCCTAAACCCTAAACCCTAAACTCCTAAACTCCTAAACTCCTAAACTCCTAAACTCCTAAACTCCTAAACTCCTAAACTCCTAAACCCCAAGCAATTGCAGGCACTTCCGACTGTCTGAGGATTCGGAGTTCGCGGCTGTTGCCTGCGCACATGCTTCGGAGTCTTTGCTTTGGTTTGCAGGAGCATGGCATTCTAGGCAAAGAAGGGAAGAGCTTGCTTAAAGCTTCAACCACGAGGCCCACCTACCATGGGCTCCATGATAGTTCCTCTTTGTGGTTTAAATGTAGGATCCTATAAGGTCATCCCAAAAAGGAACTACTACGGGGTAAAGATAACCTCCAAAACCTCCTAAACCCTAAACCCTAAACCCATGGCCCTGTAAACAGCATCATGAAGCCGAGAGCAGGCCCTATAGTTCAACTAACCGACAGATCCGAACACCCTCAACAAGGTGGCACTTTGGGAAACTTGTCAACCCCCTACTTGGAGGATCATGGGACTTAGTAAGTAATTAATGTTATAAGTACCCTAATTGGGGTTGTTATTATTATAGTTACCTTATTTATAACCCTAGCTACTAAGCCCCATGATCCTCCAAGTAGTTCTCCTTAATGGTTCCTATAGAGGTGCCTATTCATAACTGCGCTTCAGGGACCCAAACTATAACCCAGTCAAAGCTTTTGTTGCTCATTCATAACTGCGTTTTAGGGCCCCAAAACTATGACCCGGTCAAAGCTTTTGTTGTTATTTTGTGATCCCAGGTGCGATGGATGCGGACCCCGACCAGGAGAATCTCGTGGAAACGGTACTCCACAGCTGCTTAAGGGTTACAGCATAAGCCATAAAGTTGGAACATCCTTATCCTCGTGTCCTTAAGGTAAAGTATAAGGGATCCAAGCACAAATCATCCCAAGTCCATGTTCCAACTTTCTGGGGCTCACTATATGGTTTAGGGTTCAGGGTTTAGGGCTTCAGGGTTTAGGGCCCTAAACCCTAAACCCTAAACCCTAAACCCTAAACGGTGTGTAGGGTTTAGGGACTCCACAGTTGCTTATGGTTTTGGGGGCTCGGGGTTTGATACCAGGTTTAAGGGGTTTGGAGTTTGGATCCTCAACCCTAAACCCTAAACCCTAAGCCCTAAACCCTGGGCTTGTGGATTTAAAGGTTTTTGGGCTTTGAGGGTTTAAGGTTTAGTGTGGTCTTGAGGGAAGTATTCTGAGGGTTTTAAGTCTCGAGTCTGGGACGGAGGGCGTGTAGGGCAGGTGGCTTGGAGATGCTTGATCTGGATTTTCCGCAGCTCCTGAACCGCAGTCTTTCAGCTGTCCCGCCACAGAGAAAATTACTTCTGAATCCTCATAAGCAGCTTATATACAACTTTTCATTGCTTTCGAAACCCTAAACCCTAAACCCTAATCCCCTACACCCCTAAACCCTAAACTCCTACACTCCTAAGGCCCCCCCCCCCCCACATATGTTTGTCCGTATAAATCCGGCTGCTGCCAGGTCCCTCGGCCAATTTCCTCGAGGCCAGGTTGCCACAACCAATCCAAGCTAAGGCTAGGGAAGTTTGGGTCTAAGGGTGCATTATGCCGGGGTCTATGGGGTGGTTTGAGTTGAGGGTTTGAAGTTTGGGTTTTTGGCCCCATGTTTTCGCATAAAGCTCCTCACGATACTCCGCATGGCTTCGAGCAATGAATCTTGGCTCATTCTCCCTGAACCCTAAACCCTAAACCCCTAAACCCCGAAACCCCTGAACCCTACACCCCTAAGCCCCTAAACCCTAAACCCTAAAACCAGCCCGAAGCTCAAAGCCCTACCTGGCCCTACCTGTACCTTGAACCCTAAGTACCCTAAATACCCTAAACCTTAAACCCTAAACAATAAACCCCTAAACTCTAAAACCTAAACCCAAAACCCTAAACCCCCAAACGACCCTAAACCCTAAACTCTAAAAACCTAAACCCTAAACCCTAAACCCTAAACCCCCAAACGACCCTAAACCCTAACCCTCTCAGTTCCAAGACTCGCCGGGTCCTCTGCCTCGGTGGGAGCTAGGATTAGGGGGACCCTTGGGGATATAGACCCTCTCAATAAGGTCCCTTTTAAGAGAGCCAAGAGTAGGGTTCAGAAGGGGTACCCTTTAAGGGGTACCCCTAGTAATACTACCTACGCTGCAGCTGGCAGGCTCTTGCAAGAAGAGCAGGTGGAGGAGAGCCCGGGCCCCAACTGCAAGAAGTACAGGGTTTAGGGCTTGGGGGTTTAGGGTTTAGGGTTTAGGGTTTAAGGCTTAGGGCTTAGGGTTTAGGGTTTAGGGCTTGGGGTTTAGGGTCATACTATAGAGGGTTTTTGGGTTTAGGAGCAAGAAGAGTAACAATGACCACAGAATGTAGAGATGACCTCGTTAATCGTGGTACTGTATGAATAACCCTCAGTACTCGTACTGGTGAAATAGTAGTCTGTGTCGTGGTACTAGCAGCAGCAGCAGCAGCAGCAGCAGCAGCAGCAGCAGCAGCAGCCGCGGCGGCGGCGGCGGC